CTCTATTAATGCTCCCTTCCAGACATCGATGCGCCCCCAGACCTCTCCTCCCGCGCCGCGATCGACACCCTCATAGCCGCAGAACTCGATCCCTCCCACTCCACCACCCTCCACCACTCTGTTCCCGCCTCTTACATACCCACCTACACTCCCGCCCTCACCGAACAGCACGACCTCCTCTCCTCCTCACAACCGCTCCCGAAAGGCATCGACCTCTCACGCTACGAAGCGCTGGAAGCACCTGAAGACGAAGCCGACACAGCCGCTTGGACCGCAGCTTTGCGCAGAGCTTACGCCGCGTCAACACATCTCGAAACACGCACCACGAACCTTGCGCTCCTGGAGAAATATGGCAAGAACGCGTGGCTGATTTCGAATTCGCAGCTCGAAGTCATGCTGCGCTCTCTCGAAGCAGAACTCGCCGCTGTCAAAGCCGAGAGCGAGGCGGTGGAGGAACAGCGTAGGAGCGCGCAGTACAGTGTGGCGGCGGAAATGCAGGCGTTGGAAGAGACTTGGAAGCGAGGCGTGGGTAGGGTGATCGAGACGGAGGCGGCGGCTGAGGCGCTGAGGAGGGAGATTCTGGAGCGAAGGAGAGAGGGCGCGGGCGTGGGCAGATAGGGGATAGCTTGGGATTATGGTTTTACGAATGGACAGCGGGGGAGTAGGGTAGGCCGCATGCTTACCGAATCTGGGATGTGATTCTGATGGCAGGCTCGGCAACATGGTAGACATCCAGCCAAGAAGGACCTACGACTCCCGAGATCACGCCAAATCCAAGGGAAATAACGCCACCATTTGCTTTGCGCTGAGTAGAGAGAGCAGAAAGAAGGAGGCAGAAATCGATTGTAGGAATCTCCATTACAAAGCTGGAGAAGAGTCGACGACGATACGGAACAACAAAAACCAAGAACGAAACGATCATCCATTGACCAAAAAGGCAGCAAAATGAAGAGCAAAAACATACAACAGCTGGTATTCGCTAATGGTCACCCACTTAACTACTAATCAGCCGGTTCGCAGCTTGTGTATGGCAGAGCGGACGGGATGCCCAATATTCTGCGACCTATGGTCGTATGTGATAATTATTTCTAGAGGTTTGCAATATATTCAAATAGGTGTTTTTGAGCGCAGGTTGATGCATCTGCACCACAATCTGCTTCTCGTGGGAACGGAACGTCGTCGCTGCTTCAAGATACCCTTGTCCCTTGATGTAGGGATTCTTTTCTGGAGGTTTCATTTCCGCGAGCGCCCAAGTGTTCCAGTGCAAAATGGATGAGAAACAAAGACCCGCATCAAAGACCCGCATCAAAGCAAGCAAAAAGCATCGGTGTGGACATGGGATAGGCTGGCTATGTGGATCATGTGTGCAGCGAGTTGACATGTTGTCCGTTCGTCGATGACCGACAAGGCTTTAGGTCACCCAACTCGGTCGGAAAGCACGTTCACTATGCACACACTCACAGTGGTAATGGTCTATTTGAACGGTAAACATTCTTTTCTACGGACCCGAGATGAAGGATTGCTGGATATCGTCACTCAAACAGAGCATAGTCAATGATTGAGTCTGTACATCTTGTTTGAAACCGGATGTAGTTGATTCTCTCGGAGTGAAGAAAAAAGGCAAATAGGAGGGAAAACAGCAACGCCAAGTACATGTAGGAATGGGCAATCGCCCGGGAGCGAATAGTAATGGTGGTAATGTGATGCGTAAAGCAGTAATCCAGAGAGCTCTCTCCACCGTGACCAAAGTAGTGATAAGGTAAAAAGACTCCCATCTCTCTCCATCACCCAGTGTTATCCACCCACCTATCCACGCCGCCGCCTGTCAGCCCATCCCACACTGTATGCCGTCCCGCCCACTCCAAGGAAGAACCTACCCAGCCCCTCGTCGTGCAATCCAGCAGCTAGCCAGCCAGCTGACCCCGACGTTTCCCGTCCGGTCTTTATACCACGGCAAGACAAATCACCGACCCGAAGCCAACGGATCCATCTCCTCGGCACCATCCGCTTTACTCGGATCGTTCCTGCGCATGATTCCTTCCACCGGGCCAAGCAGCCTCTGGAAGCCGTCCTTGCCCAGCGTCGCCACCTTGACCTCCGTTCTGCTCACGACGCTCGCGGCTCTGGGCGCATCGTTCAGTAGCGCCAGCTCGCCAAAGTAGTCGCCTTTGGCATACGTCTTGACGTGGTGCTCGACGCCGCGCTTGAAAACCTCTGCCTCGCCGGACTCAAGGATGAAGAAGTTCTCGCCGACGTCGCCTTCTTGGATGATTGTAGTCCCAGCGGGAAACTTGCGTGTCTCGAGCGCGTCGGCGATCTTGCTGCGCTCGTACGGCGTCAGCGACGCCAGCAGCGGTACCTCTTCCAGGAAGCCTTCGTACATGCGCCGACGTTGAAAGGCGCTGTCCATCAGGATCCGACGGAAGGTGACGCGGTCAAGCGCCCAAAGGGTGCTGGGCTTGTTGCTGGTAACGGTTGCTGCACGGGGTGCGTTGTACATGAGCGCGAGCTCACCGAAGGAACCACCGGGCCCGACGCTGCCGACGCGCTGGCCTTCGCCACCAGGTCCGTTCTCAAGCTTGCCGGACTTGTTGACGAATATATCGAAACTGCCGCTCTCGACGACGTAGAAGTAGTCGCCGACATCGCCTTGGGTGATGACCTTGATACCCTTGCTGGGGATCGGCTTCTCCTGCAGCGCGCCGAGGACCTGGGATGATTGTTCGTCATCGAGATGGGAGAAGAGGAAGTTGCCGGATACGGCGGCCTTGAGGCGGGCCTGCTGATCAGACGTCTTGGTATGATAGGGCGGCGTCCAGTTCTCGTTGAGGTTGGAGGTGGGGTTCAGCGATTCGGCGGAGACGGAGGTACGACGGTTGAGGTTGTAGTTGGAGGGAAAGGACTGCGGGTCCATGGCGGCGGGTGGGGGACCGGCGCTGCGTGCGCTGGCGGACGAACCGTTGAAGCCGAAGTTGCGAAAGGAGCCAAAGGAGCCGCTGTCGGCGGACGCAGCGGAGGCGCCATTGTGGTTGGACATGATGTCGCGCGGGAAGGAGGAGGCGGTCGGCGAAGCGATGGTGTCGTTCTCGTCCTCCTCGTCAAGGCTGTGCATGGCGAGCGGGGTGTTGGAGGGCGAGGTGCCGAAGGGGTTGCTGCCAGGGAATGAGCTCGCGCCGGCCATCAAGCCGTCACGTTTCTGGCCGTTTTGGTGGTGGATGTGCTTGGAATGCTGCTGGCCGAGCAAGAACTCGGCGCGCTGAGACTCTAGGCGGCGCAGGAAGAAGTTGGCGCAAAACTGGAGAGTGTCGGTGGGTTGTGCCTTGAGGATTTCGCGGTTGAGAGCGTTGATCTCGTTCTCGTAGTCGGGAGGGAGCGACATTGGAAGTCGGGTTGGCGTGCTGGAGGGTGCAGCGGGGATATTGAGTTTCGCGTCGGGTTTGACGTAGGACGACGTGGTCCGAGCGCCAGAGACTTGGTGACGGGAGCTGCGAGAGAGAGAGTGGTGGTGCAGGTGGTGAGGCAGGTGGGAGTATGGAGGGTGTGGAGGAGGAGGAGGAGGAGGAGGAGGAGGTGCAGGAGTCGGTGGTCGAGTCGCGAGAAGAAGTGGCAGCAGCGGAGAGAATGAGTGGGTGAGTGGGTGAGTGGGTGAGTGGGTGGGCTGGCTGGTCTCTTTTCGGTGCCTGGTTGCTGCTGTCGCTGCTGCTTCTCGAACGAGTCTGGAAGCTGTATAGAAGGCTTGTGGAAGGGATGATGGAATGATGGAACGATGGAATGATGGAATGAATGGACTCGCTGTGAACAAGCACTGCACTGTAACCTACCTCTTCATACACGCACGCACTCACACCCACTCTCACCCACTCATCACTCATCACCCACTCATCACTCATCACTCATCACTCATCACCCACTCATCACCCACTCACGCAGCCTTCCCTCAGATCCCCCTTGATCGAAGGCTACTTGGCGTCCATAGCTCGACCGCCCAGAGCTCCCCGCCGCCCACCCACCACCGAGACCAAGCCACCCGCCGCCCCTAACCAGGAGACGAGCAACCAGCTAACTAGCTACTCGACTCCAACGTTGGCATTGTCATCCAAGTTATTACCATCTTGCCTGCGACTGCTAAGTTACGCGGCTTCTTCCGCCGATGCTCGCTCTTTGTCCGTCTGGTCCGTCTGGTCCGTCTGGTCCGTCTGGTCCGTCTGGTCCGTCTCCTCCCTCTGGTCCAGCTGCTTCATCCTCTGCGTCAATTCTCCGCTTGCGGTCAGGCCATCCTCGTCTGCGATGGAACTGCATCAGCCCACAGGCCTTTGACTGTCGGATTGCGCCTGTCTCGGCCGTGGATGCAGCCCGCCTAGCTCGCATACATGCCCTTCCGCTGTCCTGAGACACATCCACGTACATACCAACTCATCATTCCCGACAGCATTCACTGATGATATATCCCGGCTGAGATCATTCCTCAATTATACCACTGCGCTTGGACAACCATGACGCTCATGTTTCCTGAAACACTTGGCCTCTGACCCACATTCGTCGAGAGCAGACAATCTCGGCGCCAGCCTGGTTTACGTCGACGTCCGACCACCCGCCCGTTCACGCTCTGCTCTTGCTCCCTACTACTACGCTTGATATTACCTGATCTATCGCGATCTAGACCTGCTGAGTCCTCGGTCACTTTGAGCAAGCAGTCTGCCCCCTTTCGCTCATCTGTTGCGCTTTGGTCGACGATGCCACCGCCCGAACGGAATGCCTCGAGGACGATCAAGTTAATCTCAGCAACCTTTGACCTACTATGGTACGCACGTCTTTCACAGTATCCATATCGTCTCGCCTGTGATTTTCCTCAACTTCCGAAACCCCGATCTCAACTCCGGGCTTGCCAGCCTCATTTTCTGCCCCGTCCACCATCCAACCTCCATCTTGCTTTCTTCTTTCACTTTATAAGCAATTCCCACGTCTGTCTTTCCACCAAGCAGCACAGCAGCTCCCCAAATGCTTCGATGGTTTAGTGGTAAAATTAGCCGTTGCCAAGTGAGTCCTTCCAGACCAGCAGCAACATCGGCTAGCCCCGTGTTCGATTCACGGTCGATGCATCATCCTCTCTCAGAGTTCCTGAGCTTTCTCTTTTGGTGGTGGTGGAGTTGCGGCGCTTTTTGGCGTGTAAAAAGAACCACTTTTTGCTGCTTCCGGGTTTGGCAGCGGTCAGGTCTTCGGTGACATGGCGGCACAATCAACTGCCGAAGCCAGAGGGACCTACAGTCCGTGCATCACCGGCAATTGACCCACCACCATCCTTTGCTTCCCTCTGTAAACCGCCTGTCGTCTGTCCGTTCATTCTCACATGCCGATGACTTGACAGTCGAGGCAGAGATACTATCTCTACACATTCACGCTTTTGATCCTCGTTTCTTTTGCATCTTATGGCCACGGATGTCTGGCAGTACGGTAGAGGTGAAAGACGTTGGTGGGATGGACATCTGGATGCCCTGCAGTGTCGGCATCGCCTACTGGCATCATACGGTATCGATCCTCTACGGCAACACATTACTTGTGAAGACATCACAGTGCTCCGACCTCTCTTCATGTTGCCGAAACCCATAGTCGATCTGCGATTCATGCCAGGACAGTGCGCGGTCAAATCAATCCTGGCCGCCGGACTGCACAGTCAAAGCAAGCCAGGTATACCCCTCTATTCGTCTCGAAGCAAGCCTCAAAATGACTCCCAATGTTGTTGAAGTAAGTCTTGACAGCGATTTCACGAGGATGGAAGTAAATTCACCTTGTACATTCGGGAAGTCCAAGTAAGCCCGTTCGATTGCTGAGCAAGGTTTGGGATGCCAATAGCAGGAGCTGATTGTAACAGGTACACAAGCAACATAGGGGAGGTGGTATGTTCAATATGTGCGCGCCTCGTGTGGTCGTACTCTTTGCAGCCACCGGGCGGGATGGGAGGATTGACGCACGGACGTAACCTTGGGCTCTAACGTTACCTACACCAGGAAACCGCTACCGTCTACTCGCTCCCGCCTTCCTACCTGGAAGCTTCCAAGCTTCTCTCTCGACGAAAAATTCGTCACCTCGCCTCATCCTACGATTCGGACTGTGACTACAGCAACGACAGAGACAGTTTTGTTGCCTACATGCCCATCCACTCGCTGGCCGTCAAGATCAAAGTGTTCAAAGACTACGTGCGGCTAGTTACCATCTTCCGCGCGTTGTAAGTGTGCCTAGATTGGATCATTGTACCCAGTGCTCATATCGATACTAGAATCCAGGAAATTCCTGAAGATGCTAAAGGCTCGACTATGACGGCCATCATATGGATTATTGAGTGGCTTAAAAACCGTGTCGAGCAGAACCCCGAAAAGCTGCGAATGGCCTCCCGTTGTTTTCCACGCTTATTGCGATCATGCTTTTACGAAAACCAGAGCAGGATAAACAAGCATGTCTCTCACATGCTGACGGCAACCTTGTCCGTCATGTACTTCTTGATATTGCCGAGGAAAATACTGCAAATGATACTGATACCACCGAAAGCCAGGGAAACATAATAAACGTACGGATACTATGTTGTGGTCAGTCTGCGTTCGTAAGAGGCCAACAATACTCATCTCCAATCAAGGGAGGCGTCTGAAGCCGTTTGAGGAAAGAATATAGGTCAAAACTTACCGCTTGCGCATACGATTCTTGTCCCGCCCTCACCAACACAGCAATCTTCTCCTCCCCAATACCAAATTTCTGGAACTCGTCCAGCAGCCCAGCAATAGTAATGTCAACGACCTCAAGAAGCACCGTCTGATTCGTCGTCTGCAGCGTCTCCGCTGCAACGGGCACCAGCGTATTCGTCAGCGCCGCTGTAAGCTTCTGCGAAAACACGTTGTAATAGATGCAGTAGCCCAGCGCGCCGCCGAGAACCCGGATAGCCAGAGTCAACGCCGTTACGGTCGCGATGAGGTCGTCCGGACAGATGATGTTGGTGATGATGCTGGCAGGTACGACGATGCCGCCGATACCGAGACCAGAGATAGTCAAGACGACGTACACGAGCCAGACGTTGTCGCGGTCGAGAGCCGCCATGCCGCCGCCACCCGCGGTCATGAAGATGCAGCTAACGAGCATGAGGCTGCGGATGTGGCCGCGGGTGTATGTCAGCGCGGCGAGGACAAGGCAGGCACCGGCCAGAATACTGAAACCGAGGGTGATGTTGCGGATGCCGACGCCGGTGGGTTCGTGTCCGTAGACGTTGTAGCTCTGCGTCGGCCAAAAGAGCAGGACGGAGAAGAAGTTGGCGCCGGAGATACAGGTGATGATGAGGGTGAGCATGAGCACGCGAGGCTCCTGCTTCAGCCGGCCCGGGAACATGGGGAAGCGGGCGAGTTTCCATTCCCAGATGGAGAACGCGGCGAGGAGGGCGGCGCCGAGGAGAAGGGGCACGAGGACGTGTGCCGTTGTCCAGGGGTAGTTGTAGCCGCCCCATTGGAGACCGGCCATGAAGAGGAGGAGACCGGCGATGGAGAGGAAGCCGCCGATCCAGTCGATGCGCTTGACTAACTCCATGCGGGAGAGACCGTTGGTGTTGGTGCGTGGAGGTGGGTGGTAGAAGACGAAGGTTAGGACAAGTCCGATGAAGGCCCAGAGGGCGCACCAGAGCCCAATGTAGCGCCAACTGCCGTAATGGGCGACCCATTGTGCCCAGAGAACCGAGGGACAAAAGGGTAAAATCGTGCTTGGAGTGCTGTTAGCTATGACTCCGACAATTATAGCTGGGTATAGTTTCGACTGATGGGGAAATCGATATACTCACAGGATCATCCAAGCATTGTACTTTCCGCGCTTTCGTGTAGGAGCAATCTCAGACGTAACAGCCAGGGCCGTGAGCTCAAGTATTCCGGCGCCAACCCCAGCAATTGACATGCCCGCAATGAAGATGTTCATGACGTGTGCCGTCGAAGTTACAATGTTGCCGACAATGAGCAAAGTGGCGCCCATGAGGGAAGTGTGGCGTCTACCGAAGAGATCGGAAAGGTAGCCAACAAACGGGCATACAGCAGCGAGGGCCAGAAGATAGCCAAGCACGAACCAGGCCCATCTGTCGACGCCGCCAATATCGCCATAGATCAGAGGAGGCACGGCACCGTACAGGTAGAGAGGGATTTGAGAGCCTGTCCAGAGGAACGCCATTGCGACCAAGGGCATGAAACGACGGACGGTCATCTTCGACTTTCGTCAATTGGGTGGGCTAAGGGAAAGCGAGCAGGTAGCAGGTAGCAGACCTTCTGTTCCGGTTCCTCTTCCGCGTTCTCATTCGTGAGCTCAGTGGCCCCGGTCCTGATTCGGCTGACATCTTCAATGTAGATGCCATCGGCTTTCTCAGCATCGGTCGGGGTGTAGTTGTTATCGCTGCTCATGACAGGCTAAAGAGCGCCGCAGAGACGACTGATGACTGAAGGGTTGCGAAAAAAGCAAGAAATATGTCGAAGGAGTGAGAAAACAAAGACGAGAAAATTAAGCTTTTCTTCTCAAGCTGTGAGGATTTCAGCTTCGACTGCAGGCTTCTGAGTGTAACGTAGAACACGTCAACCTTATATCGACCGACGGTCCTTGGAAGCGGAAATGCTTCTGCGGTAATGTCGACAGCGGTAACTCCCACGCGGCAGAGGCGCCGTCTAAACTTAACCCCGCAAGTGTAACTTACGGCAGTGAGGCCTAGCTATAAGTTAGCTTAACGCCTGCCTTAGCCAGTGTGCAACCTGGTGATCACATCCAAGGAGGGATTGCCGAGGGGAGCTGGGGTACAGCACGGTTGGTCAAGCCTCCTTTTGCCTATTATACACCGCGTAGGTACTCAATTGCGGGTGTCGGCCAGTGGTTACCAGACGAGAGGCGCAGGGTGGCTGCCCAAGATTGTGGGGTACTGTACATACTGTATGTACTGTAGCGATCCAATCGGCACATAAGTTAGGGGGCGCTTCATCCTTGGGCGAGAGCAGTTAACGTCAATGGTCACATCTCGAAGCTCATCAACTTTGTTGCTACTTGGCGTTGAGGTTGCGCACCGAATCCGGACTGTCGCAGGCTGACTGTCAAGGTACGTCAACGGCATCACCGTGAAATATGTCCGCAGCGCTCAGCGTGCGGGGATGCTGTGTGTACAGCAGCGTCAGAGCTGGATCTCCCGTGAATCGCATATTGCGCGAAATGTGCTGCTCGCTTTCGGCCGAGGCCGTTCAGAATTCGTCATGATGCTGGTGAGAGAATCGAGGAGATGTTGTGGTCCTTCAGACCTTGACCGGTAGAGACAACGGGTCTCGCCTTAGTCGGATACTGCCACGTGAAGTGCGGCAAGAAGTGCCGTTCGTTAGTACTTCTGTGAGGGGTATGTACTGCGGTTGTGGCTCTGGATAGAGCTTGGTTAAGTTGAATAGTCAAAACCGTCCAGGAAAAGTGCCGTTCCGCATTAGCCGCGGTAGCTTGAAAGAGCTTGCATTAGGTATTCCGCTCTAAGTGATAGAGATCTCGCGCATTACTATCTAATTGCTGTCGCCGAGCCTCGTTATCTTTTATTCAAACGTCGTCGGTCGTTGCAGCAATTTCTGAAAGATATACCAATCTCGCACCCCCATGAATTCGAGCGGAATATGCTTGATTCTTCGCGCTATGGAAGGAGATGGCATGTCTAGATTCCCTCGATGATGGGCTTCCGGGCTTCGCGTTGACCTTGGGAACGCCCTTCTCCTCGACAGAGAAGTTGTCTTCAGTGCCTGAAAGCTTCATGTGTCCGAGCTGTTTGGCGGCAGATGTATTTTGCAGGCGCTCCGACATGAAGATGGAATTGACCTCTTCTAGAGTACGGCCGCGAGTTTCAGGGCAGCAGAAGTAGACTGGGCACGGTCAGTATGGATTTCGAAAGGAGAGCATGAGAGTCAGCTTACCATAGGGTCCAGCGATTGCGTTGAAGACCAAGAACCAGATCCACGTCTTCCAACTCACGCTAGGGTCGGCAATGGCGATGGGGCCGGCGGAGGTCGTCAGAAACCCGGAGATCCACTGAGCAGACACACTGAGAGCGAATCCGATGTGGCGGTAACGCAGC